ATTTCAATTCTTCAATGTCTATCTAAACTCTATTCATATTTTTATTCATTTAGCATTGAAAAACTTATCAAAATACAGTTTAGAAATTTAAACAAGATTAATGCCCTTTTGCATTAAGTGTTATTATAGTAAATGCACACATGCTTTTAAATTTCCAAGAAAGAATGATATAGGATTCTTTATTCTTTAAATATATTGAACCATACTGACATTATCACATTTTAGACGGAATACGGTGACCATTCATCAAAATATGTTATATAAGTATCTTTTCAAGACAGAATGTTCTGTGCATGCTTTGTTGAAGTTAAGACTAAATTATAAAATAAATATTAGCATGCAGTATGTATAAACCAATACAATATAAGTCCACATTATATGTACAAGTATTTGTATATTGCATTTCTTGCTCCCAACTAAATATTAAGTTTTTCTTGTTCAAGCTTCTAAACAAGAAAAGTTTGAAATAAGGGACCATGGGGTTTGATATTTTGAACACTTAGTTTTAAAGTTTTAATTCTCGGTTTAATAGTTTAACCACTTGCTTAAAAATTGTTACTCCCAAGGTTGTAATACTATCTTGGTTCATGAAGGTATTTCATAGTGTATGATTGTAGGAATTTAACAGTACATGTATGTTGTAATACACGGTTTGTTGTTTTATTTAATCAAGTAATGTGTATTTGAATCACACACATCTTCTTTACATATAGCCATTGTTGGCTAAGACAGACCATATAACTATTACAGTAAAAATTCATTTCTTAAATTCATGAATAATTAAATTCCATTTATGATTTTTTATTTGGTAAATTTCTTTCTTTTCTAAACATCACTTTGACTATTCATAAAACTATAACTGACATCTCATGTTCATGCAATTAACGATACAATAGTTGTTGCGTAGAATATATATATTTTGATAAATTTTCAGTAACAGTTGACAACATATTCAAACTATAAGAGCATCATTGTACTGTAGTATTTTGCATGAGTTTTTATTATTTTAAGCCTAGTTCAAATTAAAGGTTTCAATGTTGAAGGATGTTGTTATTTTGATATTTTCTTCATGTATGTCAACATGTCATATCTAAGTAAATACTTTGAGAATTTAAATAAAACCATATTTTACATCCTTCAGGTCCAAGGATATTTCACTTCTTTCCTTCACTTCACAAGGATAAATGAAGTCCTTTGAAGAAGGATGATGCTTTGTTCTTTTATGGACTTTTTTAAACTATAACAAAGAATTAAGTAAACGATGAATGAGTGTCATCCTTCGTAAAATGTCAGATTGACTAAAAATATAAAGTTACAGTCACTGTGAACATCTTATTGTTCTATGTCATTGAGATTTCAAACTTTATTCGAGAATGTAATGGAACAGAGCATCAAATTAAACTGAAAATCACAGTGCAATGCTGGTATATGTAAATTGCTTAGTCACCATGAGTATCCAATATTTCCCAACATCACTTATGCAGTAGATATACTGCAAGTAGGTAAACCTTTCCAGCACTAATAGTTTGAGTTCTTATGAAAAGAGCCTTTATTTATTCTGAGTTAGAAATAACTGTTACTCTTCCCCCCCCCCTTTGAGCTAATTCTTTATAGTTATTTTTCTCCAGCATTTCATTCATGTCTCTGAGGAAAGGTCCATGTGCAGTATGACAATTGATTTTAGATAATCATATCTTTCTGGGCATAAATACAGTGGTTTTTATAAAACCAATATCAATCAAACAATCCGAAAAATTATGAATAGGGACCCCCTGTCAACAATATTTTCAAAATGTTGAACCTATTAACTCAAAAGAGGATCTTCTTTTTCTGATTTTTATTACATGAAAAAATTATTCAACAAGGGGTCTAAAACTTCTTAAAAAGTAGAATGGTATTGAAAGTCTAGTTTTGAAGATATCAATTTTCAATGACCAAAATTATGCTGAAAACAATGGATAGCATGGATTTTCCCTATGGGAAAATAACATGGGAAATACATTTTTCAACTTTAACGCATTTTAATACCTATCCCCTTTTCAGGAAGTTTCAGGAAACTTTCACTATGTTTAAATTGAGAAAAACAAGATCCTCTTTTTAGAAAATAAGCTTTACATTTTCAAAAAAGTGCCAAGGTGGGGTCCTAAACCGTAATTTTTTCGGAGAGTTGAATTGATATTTTACTATGATGGGGACTTCACTTGAAAGAAGACATATTGTTCAGTAAAGACCACTGTATTTATGGCAAGAAAGTACTCATGGTGAAAGATATGACCGTCTAAAATCACTTGCCATACTGCACATGGACCTTTGGTGGAAATATGTTTTGTACTGCGAAAGATGAATCAAACTTTGATTATAGAGATTGTTTTTAGATGTAGTAGTACCCCCCAACCCCACTTAAGAAAATCCTAGTCCCTGTTATATTTATTTCTCACCTTCATTGCAGGGGTTTCACTAGAATTCCCACAACAGGCTTTAAATGAAAACAACAGGCAAAATTAATGGAAATCATAAATTTAACATGGGAAAGTTTAAAAATCCATAAAAAATCAACAGGCGATTTTGTGAAAACAACTGATGAAAATTGCCTGTTGCCTGCTGCTAATGAAACCCCTGCATTGATTAACAAACCGTCTCCACATTATTCCTAGTCCCAATTTTTGGGTAATGTCACAAATTGCGAAGTGCTAACCTCTTCACAACCATCAACTTAATATAGGATTACTTTTGAATAAGATTTACGATTGTTACAGAAATGAATGATGTCCAGAATTCTAGTTCTCTCAACTTGGGGATATGCTAAACTTTTCTACAAGATTTTTGAATAACTGGTTCAAATTGTCAAAAAGTAAACTGCTAATATTATACTTATTCTGCTTGAAAAATAAAGGCCGAATCATATTACCATGGGCATTCAACTAGTTGAACCTAGGACCCTTGGATCCGAAGTCTGTTGCTCTACCGACTGAGCTATAAAGGCTTAAGCCACTACAGCTGGGGTACTACACAACGCTGGACTGTAGTAGCTACTTGCTATCAAGGGTCGTTACACCATCTCCCCCTTTGAAAAGACCACGCCCTCGTGGTCAGCCCTGCTTCCCTAGCAGTGACTACCATATACACAAGGGCGCAAAGGATACAACCAATGCTCTGATCCCACTTCTGACACCAATGTTAGACCCGAGGGTGCCCCAGGGGAATAACTAATTAACTAACGAGCATAGTGTAACAAGCCAGATAAAGAAATTGAAAGAAGTGTGCTTATTCAATGCCCCATGTGAGAATCGAACCTAGGACCCTTGGATCTGAAGTCTGATGCTCTACCGACTGAGCTATAAAGGCTTAAGCCACTACAGCTGGGGTACTACACAACGCTGGACTGTAGTAGCTACTAATGCTATCAAGGGTCGTTACATAGTCTCAGCACCTTAAGATGGGACACCTCTCTGATGTGTAAGTCTGTCAGAGTTTTAGGGTCAACATCTATTGTCAGATTTATAACAAGGACGATACAGCTACAGATACATCTGTACAGGCCTGTAACAAGGCATACGCGAGGTTACGCAGTTGCGATTGCTAATTGATGGAGCAAAAAAGAATTGTTGTAAAAAATAAAAAAGTAAAGCAAAATATTTTTTGGTTCATGATCTTTCTTGGACTACTTCTCTTCAAGACACAGTCTGATATCGCACAGAACACATCACATCTATATCAGTTCTAAAATCAAAATTTCTGGGGAGCATGCCCCCAGACCCCCTACTATTTTTTTCAAGGCCTGTCTGCGTCGCTAACATGCTAAATATAAGAGTTAGCTGACGTTTGGGAGTCTGACTTACCTTCTAAAGGTTAGAACCCGAATCTTAATGAAACCATATCACCTTTGTTCCGTCAACCATGGAGCATTTGCCACAACATCCAAGAGGTAAATCATGGATCGAGAAAATGAATGATTTCCTTGTAAGTTCCGGAAGTTTCAATACGAAAAATTACCGAACATATGTGAAAACCGAATATTTGTTCGTTGTTTTCACGATTTACAGGTTCGTTTGTTCTTCAATGTTTTGGTCTAAATTATAAAGCATCACCAACAGGTCTTTCTCTATTAATCGACTAATACAGCAGACGGCTCATATTTCTACGTAGCATTTCATTCAGACCAATAGTGGGAGTGTAGATCACGCAGTTTCGTTCGTTGCGTACTTCACTTGAAATTGGTAATTTTTAATATTGACTACTTCACTTAGCTTGGCGGATGTAGAACATTGCTTAATATTCTTTTAATTTTCACACCAGACATGCTTGGTTGACACGTCAGCAAAGTAAAGTTCAAGGGTCAATGCGTTATTTCGTGATAACTACAACGCCTTCCCGGAAGTCAACATTGATGAAAAATGAAAAAGTCGGAAAAGCATTTACGCTAATTTCTATCAAATGCTATGTTTATGCATCATCATCGACGCAACAAAGGTGATATAGTTTCATTAAGATTCGGGTTCTAACCTTTAGAAGGTAAGTCAGACTCCCAAACGTCAGCTAACTCTTATATTTAGCATGTTAGCGACGCAGACAGGCCTTGAAAAAAATAGTAGTTTTGCTCGGCCTTCGGCCTCGCGTACCTGTTCTCAAAATCCTGTTTATGCTGCTGCTGTACCTCCAGAAAGCATAGAGATAATACATTTCCCCCATAGTCTACTAGGTCTAACAATAGAAACAGAATGGTTTGTTACTACAGGTCAAGGACTGATGTATTGTAACTTTATCTCATTGTCCATTCTGATTCTTATATAATCTGAAAAATTACAGAGTTCTTGTCACCTATACACAGTATACAGTCCGATTACAAATTGCGTATGATAAAAATAAGTGTCATATATTCATGTGTAAGTATAATCACCGTTGAGTAAATAATAAATGTATTATATATACAAAATACTTACCCAAAACGGAGACCCACAGAACCCCCTCATGTTTGAAAATGCGCTATTTCTTAAGTGGCGCCACCTTTTGACGGAATTAATTAATGATGTGAAACCTTATAATATGGTAATATTATTATGCCTTTGAGGTATTTATAGACATATCCGATATAATTCTCCCATTTTATTACATTCGCACAATCAAAGTACCTTTGTTTTATGATATATTGCACGACAACGTCAAATAATTTCAAAATTCTATACAGCAACCATGGCGTAATCGAGCAGCAGTTTCAAGTTTTGTGTTTCCAAAATATTTACTTGTAAGTTGTAAGTGATAGACTAGCGTGAGTATACACTTGGTATGAACTAAAATCACATTTTTACAACACTACATTTTTATATATGATATCATGATACAATTTCACAAGTATATTGATCTACCAATGCTCAGTCAGAGGTCATGAATTAATTTCAAAAAAATATTTTCCCAAGAAAAAATCTAGCATATCAGTATCATTCTTAGGTGCATTCATGCACCCTCTGGGTCTCTGAGGATCGTGTTGGCCATGCAAGTCCTTACGACAATCCAACGCATTAGAGGCGGTGTTCACCGTCTATATCATTCTCTGACACAGTAGACTTTTTTTTGTAGTCCAACAACATTAGATCTAGCCTGGGGCCTCGTTTCTTATCTGACATGTCTTACGGCCACGACATGGGCGTAGTTCTTTATTTGTAAGTAGTACGCCACTGCAGGAACAATAGTTGAGCGAAGCAAAAAACGAGCGTTTAGAGGGGTCTGGGGTGTTCTCCCCCAGGAAAATTTTGAAATTTGGTTGTATTTGGAGCGAAATTGCAACCATCTGGTACGCCTGTGCATACCCAGCGTACCGGGTGCTACGCCTATGCAAGATAATTCCTAATATAGTAAAGAAAGCCGTTATTGAGTTTAACGACGTTGAACTACTAGGCTATATTGGGGCTATATACAGTAGACTAGGCCCAGTCAAGCCTAAATCATCATGTTCAATCTTGATCTTTATTTAGGCCTTGTAAAATATGCCCCTAAGTCACATGTTCAAAAAAATTAAATTTTCGAAAAAGCGTTTTTCTAGATGTACTTTTTTACATGTAGATTTCAAATATAACATCACTTTGATCACTGAATTTTGAATATTTAATGACGAAAATCAAGATTATTTCTACTCGCATCTAGTCTTTTGCAATAAACCTGTAGCCTTTTGTAATTTAGGGAGTTTCAGCCATGCCATGTTCACTTTTTGAAAAATAACATGGTAGAGAAGCATCAAAATCAAGTGAGAGGGTTGATCTGTTTCTCTGGTCAAGCCAAGGAAATGGACTTGATTTTAGGGGAGTTTTATCTGGATAATCATGGAATAAAAACGTTATTTAATAATTTCTCATGAAATACAGAAAATATTCTTCCCTTGAAAGTCTGTATTTCACTCAGCTAGCGCATCACTTCCCAGGCATAATATTCTCTGTATTTCACTTGAATCATTGAGTAACTTATAGTACTACATTTGTAAGGTTTTTTGATTTTTTCAGGGGATATACCATAAACAGCTGTACATAGAACTATTTTAAAATATAATCCATTATATATTTTCAGAGAGAGAATTATAGAAGAGCCAAATGATCTAGTTGAAAGCCCATGTTACAATGCAGGGGATTCGGAAAAAATTATGCTGAACCCTGAGTTTGAAGATGATCTTCGATGTTTAATACGGAAGTCTAGTCATCGGCTCGATACAGCATATTCTGAATTTCAAAGGACCATCCGTGCACGAATGAAATTACAGAAAAAACAGCATGGCAAACAATTTGTATCCTGTCAATCATTATCACAACTTCCAAATAACAATAAAAAATGCTCACACTGAATCTCACGAAAGTATGGAATCTATTGATGGCTCTGTGCATGAATCCGAAGATGGTGACTATCATTTTGTAGAATCATCTCATTCTGTTCAAGTATTAACTGGTCTGAACAGTCTACGTTTGTCTCATTCCTTTTGTGATATCATCCTAAGTGCAGATGGCCAAGATTTTGAATGTCACAAAATTGTCCTGTCGTCATTCTCCCCTTACTTTAAAGCCATGTTTGCGGGTAATTTATCTGAGAGCAGCAAAGACAGAGTTTCAATCAATGGAGTTGAAGCAGACATGATGAATCTACTCATAGAATATGCCTACACATCAGAAGTATTAATCACAAAATCCAATGTACAGTCGCTGTTATCTGCATCAAACTTACTGGAAATTCTCCCTGTACGTGACGCATGCTGCCAGTTTATGGAAAGGAACATGGATGAAAGTAACTGTTTGGGGATTCACTGTTTTGCCGAAGCTCACGCTTGTATTGACCTACAGAACAAATCTAAGCAGTTCACTCTAAAACATTTCCCTGATGTCTGCCAAGGTGATGAGTATCTCACACTATCTGCATCAAAACTTATTGAACTACTGTCGGATGACGATCTAGGTGTCGAGAATGAGGAAATTGTTTTTAATGCTGTTCTGAACTGGTATGAACATGATAAAGAGTCACATGGTGTCGAATTTGATGATGTCTTTGAGCATGTACGTCTACCGCTTGTGAGCCCATATTTCCTCTATGACATATCAACGAGACACAATGTAATTGTGCAGTCCCCAAATTGTCGTAAGATTGTGGAAGAGGCAAAGGCTTATCAGTTGTTGCAGGACAGACGGCAAGAAATGAGGACTCCAAGAACCCGACCAAGGAAAGCTTCAGGTAAATGGGACTTACAAAAATAAGTTACATATCACTCGGAGTCCTACTTTACCTTAAGCGTTTGAGAGAGATTCTAAACTGAGTCCTTTGCTAGAGATAGTCAGTCAGAATTTACAATTTTGCTTACATATATGCATGTTCGTAGCCAGCTTTTGATAGGGTGGGGGGCTCTAAATTTTGAAAAATAATGCCCAAATTTAAAAAGCAATGCCCAGTGATGTCAGTTTGTCGTCTAAATTGCCCAGTTTGTGTGGGGAGGAGCAATTTTGGGCCCCAATTTTAAAACATTCCAAAAATGAAAGACATACAATGTATGCTACAGTACATAAGCTTTAATTATTCTGACTGTTTGTACCTAGGTTATATGGAAGTGATCATAGCAGTAGGAGGGGAGGATGATAAGGTTGTCTTACGAAGTGTTGAGAGCTTTGACCCTATGACTCATCACTGGAAAACGATGGCTTGTCTTCCATTTGCTGTCAGTAAACATGGCCTCGTTGTATCAGGTAGGGATGTATTTTAACTCTGAGACTAAAATTTGAGAAAGTTAAAGGATTCAGAAAAAGGCAATTAGAGTCAGTCAGTATTAGTTGTATATTGCTAGATATTTTTTTATGAATGTATGTTGTAAAACTTATAAGTGGACCCCCTCCATAAGTGGAACACATCTCTTTCCTTTTCCCGTAAGTTGTGTATGAAAAGAACCTCTGAAAGTGGAACACCTCTGAATTGGAACATCATTTTGAATTTCTGAAAGTATTCCTTTCAGACAGCTTTTATAACCAATTGTGTATGGCTATATTTTAGATGTATACAAACTGTTGCTAATTCATTTATATATGGCTTTATTTCAGGTAACAACAGGCTGTAAATGACTTTATTTCACATGCTGTATATGGTTATATCTCAATCTGTATATGGCTGTATTTGAGGTAACAACCAGCTGTATATGGCTTTATCTTGATTAGTAACAATCTGTTTATTGCTGTATTTCAGGTAATAATCAGCTGTATATGGCAGGGGGAGAGTTTCCTGATGGATCAGCGAGTAAGAGCATGTGGCGTTATGATCCCTGTTTTGATAACTGGCTGGAAATGGCTTCCCTTAATGTCCCAAGATCTGAGCTAGGTGAGAATACCTATAAACAATTCTTTTTGTGTATTTGTTATGTCACCACCAAAAAGTGGTGACATATTGTATTATTGTTATTATTGTATTATTGTTATAGTCTCCGTTTTTTTTGACAGCGGTTGGTGGTTGGCGGTTGGCACCTTCAATGACATTCTCAAGGTTAAAAAGTTCTTTTTTCATCTTGCTTCAAATTGACCAATTTTCTTTTTCAAAATCATCTAAAAGTTGTCAGAAGTTCAAAATGATTTAAGATTTGACCTTCAATGACCTTCTCAGGGTCAAAAAAGATCTTTTTCTACTTGCTACAAATTGACCAATTTATTTTTTCAAAATCATCTACAAGTTCTCAGAAATTCAAATCTGACTTAAGATTGAATTCATAATATTGTGAGCGCCTAGATGGTGACATTTTGCCATGTTATGCCTTGTTATGTCACCACCAAAAGTGGTGACATATTGTTATGGTCTCCGTTTTTTTGCGACGGCGGTTGGCGTCCGGCGGTTGGCGTCTGTAACAATTTCTTACAACTTCCTATAACTTAACAAATACTGTTTAGACTGACTTCAATTTTTTTCTAAATCATCTACATGTTCTCAGATGTTCAAATCTGACTTTAGATTTGACATTTGACCTTCAATGACCTTCTCAAGGTCAAAAAGGTTTTTTTTCAACTTGCTTCACATTGACTAAAATTTTTTTCAAAATCATCTACATGTTCTCAGAAATTCAAATCTGACTTTAGATTTGACATTTGACCTTCAAATCTGACTTAAGATTTGACATTTGACCTTCAATGACCTTCTCAAGGTCAAAAAAGGTCAAAAAGGTCTGTTTTCAACTTGCTTCAAATTGACTAAATTTTTTTTTCAAAATCATCTACGTGTTCTCAGAAATTCAAATCTGACTTAAGATTTGACATTTGACCTTCAATGACCTTCTCAAGGTCAAAAAAGGTCAAAAAGGTCTGTTTTCAACTTGCTTCAAATTGACTAAAATTTTTTTCAAAATCATCTACGTGTTCTCAGAAATTCAAATCTGACTTTAGATTTGACTTAAGATTTGACATTTGACCTTCAATGACCTTCTCAAAGTCAAAAAAGGTCAAAAAGGTCTTTTTTCAACTTGCTTCAAATTGACTAATTTTTTTTTTCAAAATCATCTACATGT